TAGACAAACAAATCTCTCAACCTCATTTTCTTTCTCTTTCTCTCATCCCTTTGGAGTCAATAGAGCATGTGGCCATCTAAAACAGTCATATCCTTTTAATCAGTTCTACCCCAACTCCCACCTAGCAGGCTCAGATGGGCCCTGTGTCTGTATTCATTACAGGAACTAGCTAGAATGTCAATACACTAATCATATGCTCCGTCACTCTGGAGCATATGCCGAGAAGGGGGGTTAGGGAAAAGTCAACCTTCTCAGCCATGAATCTATCCCCAATACGGTATATATATATATATATATATATATATATTCCCCACCTAGTTGTTCAAAGAACCCACAAATTAGTCCACTAGCCCAAACCTCCTGTGAAAGCCTTGTATTTGGCACTTTCCCATTTAAAACTTTTGACACCCACACACTCACACCAAATCTTTTACCATGCATTGCACATCTTTTTACACACATGGACAGCTGCTCTGATCTCTAGACAAACAAATCTCTCAACCTCATTTTCTTTCTCTTTCTCTCATCCCTTTGGAGTCAATAGAGCATGTGGCCATCTAAAACAGTCATATCCTTTTAATCAGTTCTACCCCAACTCCCACCTAGCAGGCTCAGATGATTCACTCACATGACCCTGTACATGATGCTCAGTTCAGGGTTGTTTTGAACCATTTCATCTCTCGGAGCACCGAGGTGGAATAGCAAAGCACACCAGGCTGTTGAGTGTGACAGCGCATCCTATAGCTCAGGGAAGCTCTTTAGGCCCTGTGTCTGTATTCATTACAGGAACCAGCTAGAATGTCAATACACTAATCATATGCTCCGTCACTCTGGAGCATATGCCGAGAATGGGGGTTAGGGAAAAGTCAACCTTCTCAGCCATGAATCTATCCGTCATCCACTACTCTATTTTCTTGCTAGATGCCCGCTAATATTTATACAGTACAAGGCTACAAGCTGAATAAAAGAAAGTTAAATCACCTTATGGGAGCCAAAGATGCCTTACAAAAGGACTATGAGTAACACTTATTCATAGACCAAGGTACTTAAACAGCACTTCAAAAGTACTATGGTACCATTACGGTAGTGTTCATTATAAGGTAATACCATGATACATATTTTGGGGATGAAAGGTGAGATGCTGATACTGTAAAGCAAATGTAACATTTTGCATTAACTGAATTATAATAAGGTAACACCTGGCAGAATTAATAAAAGCCAGGTTTACAAAAATTGCACCCAAGACACATTGTTGAAACACAATCAGAGATGGTCAGGGATAGATTCTGACCAGTGATGTTCTGAAAAAATGCTATTTGAAATCAAAGATCTTAAAGGGGTCCTATTATGCTCTTTTACAAAGTCTTGATTTTGTTTTGGGGGTGTACTAGAACATGCTCTCATGCTTGGTGGTTCGAAAAACGCATCACACAATAGCAAATTGGGGTTATAATGCTCAGGGACAGAGTTAAAAAATAAATTGCAACCACTGTTTCCTGACATCATCCGCTTTCGGAAGCCCAAACAAATACGTTTGGGCACGGAGGTGAAAAAAACGGATTTTTCACTTCTTCTTCGTCGTCTCGTCTGATGCACTCACTCAAACAAGTGTTCTAACCACAACCTCGCCCCTCCCCACGTCCCAACCATTTGAATTTCTGTAGGCGGGAATTATTTTAATGATATTCTAATGGGCCGCTTTGTGATATCACAAAGCCCGGAAACCAACGCTGTAGTCCAAATGAGCCGTTCGTTGTAGTTCTTGAAAAGGGATTTTTAAAAAA